CTATCATCAAATATTCATCAAACAGAAAAAAGACACAGTCATGGTCTACGGACAGGGTCAAACAAACTGACTTGTGTTTCATTGAATCTATTTCATTCCATTCTTCTCTCTAGCTCTCTTTGGTTCCCAGCCCTCTCCTGGCCCCTTCCTCTCCTGGTATAAACCTCTCATCTCCCAGCCCTCTCCTGGCCCCTTCCTCTCCTGGTATAAACCTCTCATCTCCCAGCCCTCTCCTGGCCCCTTCCTCTCCTGGTATAAACCTCTCATCTCCCAGCCCTATCCAGTCCTGGCCCACTCCTCTCCTGGTATAAACCTCTCATCTTCCAGCCCTCTCCTGGCCCACTCCTCTCCTGGTATAAACCTCTCATCTCCCAGCCCTCTCCTGGCCCACTCCTCTCCTGGTATAAACCTCTCATCTCCCAGCCTTCTCCTGGCCCCTTCCTCTCCTGGTATAAACCTCTCATCTCCCAGCCCTATCCAGTCCTGGCCCACTCCTCTCCTGGTATAAACCTCTCATCTCCCAGCCCTATCCAGTCCTGGCCCACTCCTCTCCTGGTATTAACCTCTCATCTCCCAGCCTTCTCCTGGCCCACTCCTCTCCTGGTATAAACCTCTCATCTCCCAGCCCTATCCAGTCCTGGCCCACTCCTCTCCTGGTATTAACCTCTCATCTCCCAGCCTTCTCCTGGCCCACTCCTCTCCTGGTATAAACCTCTCATCTCTCAGCCCTATCCAGTCCTGGCCCACTCCTCTCCTGGTATAAACCTCTCATCTCCCAGCCCTATCCAGTCCTGGCCCACTCCTCTCCTGGTATAAACCTCTCATCTCCCAGCCCACTCCTCTCCTGGTATAAACCTCTCATCTCCCAGCCCTCTCCTGGCCCACTCCTCTCCTGGTATAAACCTCTCATCTCCCAGCCCTCTCCTGGCCCACTCCTCTCCTGGTATAAACCTCTCATCTCCCAGCCCTATCCAGTCCTGGCCCTCTCCTCTCCTGGTATTAACCTCTCATCTCCCAGCCCTATCCAGTCCTGGCCCACTCCTCTCCTGGTATAAACCTCTCATCTCCCAGCCCTATCCAGTCCTGGCCCATTCCTCTCCTGGTATAAACCTCTCATCTCCCAGCCCTATCTAGTCCTGGCCCATTCCTCTCCTGGTATAAACCTCTCATCTCCCAGCCGCTCCTCAAATAAGCAGCAGGGCAGGGTCCTATGGATGGACAACATGCACCAAGCTGCCATATTGGGTTTCTCTACTCAAATACAGTAGCGAGATGAGAGACAAAGAGATGATGTGAATGAGCGTTTTGACTTTTCACTTCTCTCGTACGCTCGTCTCCACGGGTCAGTAGGTATAGTCAGTGAGCTGCTCTTGAAAGGTCAAGTAGTGGTCAGTGAGCTGCTCTTGAAAGGTCAAGGGCTATCCTGTCATATAACTACCGGAGTGTTTCGGAGGACAAGAAAAAACATTCCATCCTCCCTTTCTGATTCGTCAAGTGTCTCCAGATCGACCGCCTGCCGTCATGCCATTGAACCACACACACATTGATATGAGACAAGTCACGTAATGAACTACATCACACGTCCCAAGTCTTTTAATAACAGCCAGTCATTCACGATAATTGGATGGACCGCAATGTCCACCATCAAGCCTGCCGACCTGGGTCAAATACATGTCATATACTTTCAAACACATGAACCCAGTTCACCAGTTAGATTCTCCTCGTCAGACCTGGGATTTGAACCAACAACCTTTTGCTTACTGACATGCCTCTAACCTGTATCTCACTGCAGCTTCTGTTAAAATGGTACGGCCCAAAAAAAAGACACCACCTGACTTCGGCAGAGCTACAGATGCAGCCCCTTCAGTACGTCAGCTCTAACTGTACTCCAGCGCTCACTGAAGAGTAGGCTGCTTACTGCCTACTCCATTTGGAGTGTTTAGGGTCCATTATCCCTTCTCCACTCCGGGAGATTAACTAGGACCAGACGTGACTCTGTTTCCCCATTTACAATCAGTGGCAGAATCCACATTACATCTTAGTCATTTAGTGGACACCCTTATCCAGAGTGACCAATCAACTAAAGTAGGTCAAACTACCACAATCTCTATATAAACTGGGCTCTAGTCCCATTACTACTACAGATTGTAACTCATAGTTACCCATATTAAAAACACAGGGCCTGTATATCAGCCAGGTTGGAATTAGAACAACACCCGCATAACCTGGGAGACTGCCATAAAATATTAACATTATCCCGCCCCAAATGTGGAAAACGGGGATTCAACTAAAGTGATTGAGGGTCATTTTCATCACAGTAGAAAAAAGGATTGTATCATATTTTCAGATGTAAAACAATTCAGATCTCAAAACGACAGCGACTACGAAAGTGTGTGAAATGTAGTCTACTTCCCTTCATGCTTTTATTTTCTGAAGTAAGAAAAATCAGGAATTCTTAAAACTTCTGCCCCTCAAATGTCAAGATTATACTATCCCAGTGAAGAATGCCATCCACAAACCAGTTTTCATATTACTTTAATACATTTTTTAGCAAAAGGCAAAAAAAAACTCAATGGGTCTGTTCAATAAAATACTACCTTCTCTAATTAGTTGTATTCAAAGCACAGCCTTCCAAGTTATGGTCATTTACAAAGATCTTTGATTTAAAATAAAAAATAAAAACAGTATGATTTATAATACACATAACACATTTCCCTCAAACAGTTATTTGAACAGCAGTTGAAACCCATGGTACATGAAAAAGAAGTTAAAGTACCGGTACATTTTCTAGAGACATGGTTATATATTTGAATAGTTGGAAGCCAAATTAAAATCCAAAAGGCACGCGTATGAAATGACATCAGGGAATTGGAACACATGGAATTATGAACTACGCTAAAATAATTTTGGAATACACTGCTTGAGCAGGAGCCATTTATTCCAAAACCACTTGAGCAGGAGAGTGGCTCTGGCTAATGTCATATGCTTGTCCAAGCCAAAAGTTCCAGAAATAGAAGCTACTCAGTTCTAGACCCAGAATCTACTCCGAAATGTTATACATTTCTCAACAGAATTACTTTACTTTGGGCCATTGTGTCTGGGACCGACTGCACAACCACACGTATATACACAAAACCAAAACAGTATCAAAAGACACTAAGAAAAGCTGAAAACAGTTGACCTCTTTAAGAGAAGAAAAATATGCATAAGGGACAGTTAAAATAGAAACTGCAGAGAACACACGCCAAGTTACCCCCAGTGGAAACTCGCGTGAACAGGACTTTTATAAAATCATCATGATTAGAATGAAAGTACACGACAGACAGACAGTGCTTTACATAAACACAGCAGCCATGACATGGAGCACAGCACATGATGGAGCCTAGTCCAGCCAACAGAACAACATAGGCAGAAAAGGAACACTTAGTTATCATCATAAGAGCACAGTTTGGTGCGGCTTCTTGCCTTTTTTAACCCCCCAAAAAATATAACATTGCCTGACCTTTCAGGAATAAATACAACAACAAAAAACATCTACAAAAAAAAAGAAATTAATAATACAAATATTATCAATTTGTACTGTAACGTCAGAAAGGGGATGTGGGGGTGACCATTCCAACAACATTGAACTGATGACATCATCTTCTTCAAGATGACATCATCTTCTTCAGACAGACCTCAAACTAGTAACACTCACACACACACACACAAAGACACACAAGAAAAATAAGCCAGAAGGATTGGGCATGTTGTGGCTGTGGACATACTCTGAACGATACATTGCCACTGACAGTGCAATTCTCCAGCTGGCTGTACTGATTAAGTACCGAATCAGAAGACCAGATACACAAAACAGGTAAACTCTCAGATAAGGGATTTGAAGACGTTTTTTTAAATAATTGTATCTATCCATTCATTGGTTGATTCTTTACTAAGGGCCAGTCAACGATAGGATGATTCAGGATTAGGGCAAGAAGCAGACAGGTAGAAATCAGAGCCATACATTTAAATATATGGCTCTGGAAGAAATCTTTAGACTCTGCAATCTCAAAGAAAATAAAAACATAGTTCCTTAGGTCACTATGTCGTTAACTGACATCCTTTTGCCTTTAGTGTTCGTCTTCATCATAATACAAAAATAATTAAAAACAGCAACAGGAGGGGAGCTAGACTGCTGAACACATTGGCTATCAGTATCAACTAGATACACAGGAGGACACTTAGTATGGACCACAATAACATGTGGCAGGAATATCATATCAGTGACATGGACCCAGATCTACAAGCAGATGAAGCTAATAACATCAGCCTTTTCAAACAGCCATCTTAACTCAATATACTGGTGTCAACTTCACTGTGTAGTGCCCAGTCACTGAAAAAACTGTAATTGACTGACAGGTTTCCTAGGCAATCACTGGGCACACAACTGGGATTGAAAGACTCCCTGTCCAATCACTGGGTATTTTAACTGACCTTTGGCCCGGATTCAAACCCATTGGCATAAAATGTTTAGGGTGGTTCAACTCAAGTCGGTGGTTATATCTGGTCCACTATAAGTGTGGGAGAGAACAGTCAGTTCAAAATGGAGGTGAATTCAGTCAAACAAAGAACCTAAAAGGATTGCTCCTTCGATCCCTCGGCCGTGCTGCATGGAATCCTCAGTATCTTGTCTTCTGAGGCTTGTAGGGTGTTGATACAGATATACCATTCATGCAGATGTGCATCAGTCAGTATCACAGTTTTGGGTGGTGTGTTACGTTTATTTCCTTCCCCAACCAACCCATCACAGGTCCTCCGGCTGAAATATCTCCAGTGATTCCCTGGGTCATAGTTATTGTTCCGTCTCTTTCTCACTTGACAGAAAGTTCCAGAGTGCCTTCGTGGTGGTTTTTTTGTTTTGTTCTTTCCTGCGTTCCAAATGGCACCCTATTCCCTAAGTAGTGCACCACTTTTGACCAGAGGCTTAAGGGCCCTGGTCAAATGTAGTGCACTATATAGGAAATAGGGTGCCATTTGGGACGCATTACTTTGTGTTGTGTGTTTTACCACTCTGCGTCCCCGATGGCTTTGGAGAAGACGTAGTCTCGGCCGTTCAGGTTCATGATCCCATCCTTCAAGTGGAATTTCCATTTGTTCTTACTTCTGTGGATCTGAGGAGAGGAGGGGAACCAATGGGCGTTAGGAGTGTGGGCAAGGGGAGCAGAATGGGCTACCTCTCACACTACTGTGTGTGTGTGTGTGTGTGTGTGTGTGTGTGTGTGTATACACTTCTGTGGCTCTGAGGAGAGGAACCAATGGGACAGTGTCAGTGTGGACGTTAGGAGGGGAGCAGACGTGGATACCTGTCACACACACACACACACACACACACACACACACACACACGAAGTCTAGGGTTTCCTCACTGTGGTTTCTCATATACAGGATCTGGGGGCCTTACCGGATTGTAGTCTCACACAATAATGTCCATCTGGGGATACCTTACCTTGTCGTACTGGCACACCACCACGTTCTCTGTATCAAACAGTTCTTGGTCCTCCTCATCACTCACATCATCTTCACTGTTCAGAGGCTCCTGAGACAGAGAGAGATCAAGGGACGGTTAATAATATATCTATCCCTTCACTCCTAATCCAGTGTTTCCCCTATATTCAGTTAGCCCCTATATCATCATCATCATCATCAGCCGAGACGTGCTTTTAAGATAAGAGTTACAAGTTACATAGCTTCCTCAGATTCTCATCAGATCATCAGAGAAACATCCAAGGTACAAAGGTATGTAGATACCTGCTCATCGACCATCTCATTCCAATTTCATGGGCATTAATATGGAGTTGGTCCCCCCTTTGCTGCTATAACAGCGTCCACTTTTCTGGGAAGGCTTTCCACTAGTTGGAACATTGCTGTGGGGACTTGCTTCCATTCAGCCACAAGAGAATTAGTGAGGTCGGGCACTGATGTTGGGCAATTAGGCCTGGCTCGCAGTCTGCGTTCCAATTCATCCCAAAGGTGTTCGATGGAGTTGAGGTCAGGGCTCTGTGCAGGCCAGTCAAGTTCTTCCACACCGATCTCAACAAACCATTTCTGTATACACCTCGCTTTGTGCACGGGGGCATTGTCATGCTGAAACAGGAAAGGGCCTTCTCCAAACTGCTGCCACAAAGTTAGAAGCACAGAATCGTCTATAATGTTATTGGATGCTGTAGCGTTAAGATTTCCCTTCACTGGAACTAAGGGGCCTAGCACGTACCATGAAAAACAGCCCCAGACCATTATTCCTCCTCCACCAAACTTTACAGTTGGCACTATGCATTGGTGCAGGTAGCGTTCTCCTGGCATCCGCCAAACCCAGATTCGTCTGTCGGACTGCCAGATGGTGAAACGTGATTCATCACTCCAGAGAATGCATTTCCACTACTCCAGAGTCCAATGGCGGCGAGCTTTACACCACTCCAGCCGACGCTTGGCATTGCGCATGGTGTTGTTAGGCTTGTGTACGGCTGCTCGGCCATGGAAACCCATTTCACGAAGCTCCCGATGAACAGTTCTTGTGCTGATGTTGCTTCCAGAGGCAGTTTGGAACTCGGTGGTGAGTGTTGCTACCGAGGACAGACGTTTTTTTACGCGCTATGCGGTTCAGCACTCGGCGGTCCCGTTCTGTGAGCTTGTGTGGCCTACCACTTCGCGGCTGAGCCGTTGTGACTCTTAGACTTTTCCACGTCACAATAACAGCACTGACAGTTGACCGGGGCAGCACTAGCAGGGCAGAAATTTGACGAACTGACTTGTTGGAAAGGTGGCATCCTATGACGGTGCCACGTTGAAAGTCACTGAGCTCTTCAGTAAGGCCATTCTCCTGACAATGTTTTTCTATGGAGATTGCATGACTGTGTGCTCAATTTTATACACTTGTCAGCAACGGGTGTGGCTGAAATAGCCGAATCCACTAATTTGAAGGGGTGTCCAAATACTTTTAGTGTAAATACACTACCGTTCAAAAGTTTGGGGTCACTTAGAAATGTCCTTGTTTACATAAGAAAAGCAAATATTTGGTCCATTATAATAACATCAAATTGATCAGAAATACAGTGTAGACATTGTTAATGTTGTAAATGGCTATTGTAGCTGGAAACGGCAGATTTTTTATGGAATATCTACATAGGCGTACAGATGCCCATTATCAGCAACCATCAGTCCTGTGTTCCAATGGCACGTTGTGTTTATCATTTTAAAAGGCTAATTGATCATTAGAAACCTCTTTTGCAATTATGTTAGCACAGCTGAAAAGAGTTGTGCTGATTAAAGAAGCAATAAAACTGGCCTTCTTGAGACTAGTTGAGTATCTGGAGCATCAGCAATTGTGGGTTCGATTACAGGCTCAAAATGGCCAGAAACAAATAACTTTCTTCTGGAACTCATCAGTCTATTCTTGTTATGAGAAATGAAGGCTATTCCATGTGAAACATTGCCAAGAAACTGAAGATTTCGTACAACGCTGTGTACTACTCCCTTCACAGAACAGCGCAAACTGGCTATAACCAGAATAGTAAGAGGAGTGGGAAGCCCCGGTGCACAACTGAGCAAGAGGACAAATACATTAGTGTCTAGTTTGAGAAACAGACGCCTCTTCAACTGGCAGTTTAATTAAATAGTACCCACAAAACACCAGTCTCAACATCAACAGTGAAGAGGCGACTCCGGGATGCTGACCTTCTAGGCAGAGCTGCAAAGAAAAAGCCATATCTCAGACTGGCCAATAAAAAGAAAAGATTAAGATGGGCAAAAGAACACAGACACTGGACAGAGGAAGATTGGAAAAAAGTGTTATGGACAGACGAATTGAAGTTTGAGGTGTTTGGATCACAAAGAAGAACATTTGTGAGACGCAGACCAAATGAAAAGATGCTGGAGGAGTGCTTGATGCCATCTGTAAAGCATGGTGGAGGCAATGTGATGGTCTGGGGGTGCTTTGGTGGTGGCAAAGTGGGAGATTTGTACAGGGTAAAAGGGATCTTGAAGAAGGAAGGCTATCACTCCAGTTTGCAACGCCATCCCTTACCCTGTGGATGGCGCTTGATTGGAGCCAATTTCCTCCTACAACAGGACAATGACCCAAAGCACAGCTCTAAACTATGCAATAACTATTTACGGAAGAAGCAGTCAGCTGGTATTCAGTCTATAATGGAGTGGCCAGCACAGTCACCGGATCTCAACCCTATTGAGCTGTTGTGGGAGCAGCTTGACCGTATGGTACATAAGACGTGCCCATCAAGCCAATCCAACTTGTGGGACGTGCTTCAGGAAGCATGGGGTGAAATCTCTTCAGATTAGCTCAACAAATTGACAACTAGAATGCCAAAGGTCGTCAAGGCTATAATTGCTGCAAATGGAGGATTCTTTGACGAAAGCAATCTTTGAAGGACAAAATTATTATTTATATTAAAAATCATTATTTCTAACCTTGTCAAACCTACATTTCCTATGCATTTTGCTTTATTCCTATTCAAACTCATGTAATGTATGTTTTCATGGAAAACAAGGACATGTCTAAGTGACCCCAAACTTTTGAACAGTAGTGTAGCTAGCTAGTAATCTTGGAAGTGTAGCCAACCCTATTAATAGATGTAATAATTTATTTAAAATACAGTAACGTTACGCTAGCTTAATCATTTGTTGGGTTAATATAGACTTGGCTGGTGATGTCATTGAGATCAAGATCAAATTAAACTGTCCTCGATTTACAGATGAGATTAAAAAGGAAGAGAACATCATTTCATACAAACATTCTGAGGTAAACAGTGAGTCTTTCTTTGGTCTTAATTGAGAGTACTACCCACCTCCTCCACCTGGCCGTCCTCGCCATCTTTTTCCTTTTCTTCATCTTCCTCCTCGTCATACTCTTCCTCCTCATCTTCTTCCTCTGAGGACGTGTCCCCCGCTCCATCCACCTGCAGCATTATAGGAGGCTGCTGCTGCTGCTGCTGGGCCTGCTGCTGCTGTGGGCCTCCTGGTGCAGCTCCACCCTGGACCTGTTGGACTTGTTGGACCTGCTGCTGGATCTGCTGCACCTGGCCGGGCTGGCCTGCCATCTGCATTACCTGAAGAGAGGGATGGGTTGAAAAGGATGGGTTAGTGAGAGATGGGTTGAGAAGGATGGGTTAGTGGGTGATAGTTGAATGTGGGATGGGGTGTTCACCAGAGGAATCATCATCGTCTGTATAATAACATTAAACATTCCCTCTTGGCATCTGCATACCTACAGCCTCTCAAAAGCTGAATGTAAAAATACATTGAATGTAGGTATACTAAAGCATATTTTATCAAAATAAACACTTTGTATAATGCGCCATGCGTAGCGACTAGTGAGTGAGGTCTGACCTGTGCGTTCTGCTGGACCTTGTTCCCAGTGAGGATGACCTGTTGAGGCTGGATGATGACTCCTGTCTGCTGTGGGAGGCCTCCCTGGAGAGGAGCCAACACCTGGGGGAGTCCTCCCTGAAGAGGAGCCAGCACCTGGTGGGAGGGGCAGCAACATGGCATTACACCCCACAGAAACTCCACACAGTAATGGCCATTTGAATCCACCATTCAGTTTTCAATGGCACTTTTTGAATTGAAAACTGAATGAACCCCAATTCAGATCTACCACAGCTCTGACACAGGACCAATGTTTCTGGACCTGGTTAGTGAGCAAGTGGCCTGATGTTGTTTAACTGTGAGTACCTGCACCAGGGGGTCTAACTCCTGGGAGCTAATACCTGCACCATTAGGCCTCCACCTGCATCAGGAGGCCTATACCTGCACCAGGGGGTCTAACTCCTGGGAGCCTATACCTGCACCAGGAGGCCTCCACCTGCATCAGGAGGCCTTACCTGAATCAGGAGGCCTTACCTGAATCAGGAGGCCTATACCTGTACCAGGGGGCCTATACCTGTACCAGGGGGCCTATACCTGTACCAGGAAGCCTTCACCTGCACCAGGGGGCTCAAACCTTTACCTCCACCAGGGAGCTTATATGTGGGAGGACGGTGATAGGACCTACCTGTGTGATGGGGCGTACCTGCTGTATGACGGGGGCCTGCCCACCGCCAGGCTGCATCTGAGGAAGGACCTGCTGCTGAAGGACCATCTGCTGCTGAGGCTGGATAATGTACTGGGCCCCGTTAGCCGCACGCACCACCTGCAGGATCTGACCTGGGGTCAGGGACAGGGGAGAGGAGCGGTATTAGAGCTATGAAGAGTATGTTCAGGATCTGATCGGAGATCAGAGGAGAGAGACCCAACCTTGTGAGACTAAACCCAAGACCCAGAGTAGTGAAACCATGACCAGACCAAGAACAGTTGGAATGTTGAGAAACAAGTATATTAACAAGTCTGAAAAATGGTTTGTCATTCCTAAATGTTGTGAGGAGTAGAAGTTGTACACACCGTCCGCTGTTTTAAGATACATAGTCTGGGGCAAATTGCCGCCTGATGTGCATCACCCGGGAAGGACAGAAGAAATTCAGGGGCAGAACAAAAAACAAAACAAATTGGTATTTGGTGAGGTAATCTTTCTGCAGCAATAAGGCTGTGTATACATTTTAATCAATCAATCAATATGTACTGTTCTAATATATTATCAAGACTAGAGCTGGTGTGATGTTAAATGCTATACCTTGGCTAGTGATGAGTTGTTGGTAGGGACTGACTCCTGTTGGTAAGGCCATGGTTGCTGTGGTGGTTGCTGCACTCTAGAGGTCAGACAGAGAAAACACATCACTAACCGGGCAAGGAGCAGGAGAGATGGGTAGCCCTAGTCACTCAGGAACACAGAACAGGAGAGATGGGTAGCCCTAGTCACTCAGGAACACAGAACAGGAGAGATGGGTAGCCCTAGTCACTCAGGAACACAGAACAGGAGAGATGGGTAGCCCTAGTCACTCAGGAACACAGAGCAGGAGAGATGGGTAGCCCTAGTCACTCAGGAACACAGAACAGGAGAGATGGGTAGCCCTAGTCACTCAGGAACACAGAGCGAGAGCGAGAAAGGAACACAGAGCGAGAGAGGAACACAGAGCGAGAGAGGAACACAGAGCGAGAGCGAGAAAGGAACACAGAGCGAGAGCGAGAAAGGAACACAGAGCGAGAGCGAGAAAGGAACACAGAGCGAGAGCGAGAAAGGAACACAGAGCGAGAGCGAGAAAGGAACACAGAGCGAGAGCGAGAGAGGAACACAGAGCGAGAGAGGAACACAGAGCGAGAGCGAGAAAGGAACACAGAGCGAGAGCGAGAAAGGAACACAGAGCGAGAGCGAGAAAGGAACACAGAGCGAGAGCGAGAAAGGAACACAGAGCGAGAGCGAGAAAGGAACACAGAGCGAGAGAGGAACACAGAGCGAGAGCGAGAAAGAATGTGCTTGTTTGAGATGGAGTCTGCTCAGATTATCAGATCTTCACAACACCTGGAGAAGCATTTAAAATGTAACCTATCAATTTGCTATAATAACCCTATATTCTGTGCAGAATGACAGTATCTATGTCTAAGACAGGTGCCAGTTGAGAAGACATCATCAGGTGGGGGAGGGGCTAGAGAGGGAAAACAGACCAGAAACTAGAGAACTTTCTATCTAGTCTGAAAAACACACAAAGAGAGAGAGGTGGAAGAGAGAGAGAGAGACACAGAGAGATAGTGAAGAGTGTAGAGAGGAGGGGGGAGGGGGGCTCATCAAGGTTTATCTGCTCTGTAATCTAGTCTGAAATCCGTAGCTCTCAGTAAATTATTTCCTGCGTGGCCTCCTCTCCTCATCCCCCTCTTCCATCTGTCCTCCAGCTGGCCTGGTCAGTCACGCTCAGCTCTCACATTTACACTGTGTGTGTGTGTGTGTGTGTGTGTGTGTATCTCTCAGCTATTCTATAATCCATGTGAGTGAGTTCCAAGGAAAGACAGTCATAACTGCGAGGCTCTCATCATTGACACATGCATTGGGCCAGCTGGGGGGAATCTGTCTGCAGTGGTTTCATCGTGGATAACTTTACAAATGCCGTTGGCATATGACATCAATGAAACTGTCACTCGTAATGTTTTAAAACTGATTTGAATTAATTATTCAAGGGTCCTATGAGGGGAAACTCTGGTCCTATACTTGTGGTCCATCTGCAGACAACCACCCTACTCCACTCACCATCCCTGTTGCACTCATATGCTGCAGAATCTTAGGATCCTGCACAATGACTTGCTGCTGGGATGCTGTGGAGAGAGAAATTATAGAAGTATATTAATATTAGTATATTTATTACATTTCCTTAGTAATTATACATGTAATAAGTATGATACAGCATCTTGTCGATGGAACAAACTGTGTGTGTCTGTGTGTGTGTCTGTGTGTGTGTGTGTCTGTCTGTGTGTGTCTGTGTGTCTGTGTGTGTGTGTGTGTGTGTGTGTGTGTGCGCGCGCGCGCGTGTGTGTGTATAATAATCATGTGAAAACATTACCGCTCGTGACAGTAGGCCGGGTCGACTGCCAGCTCGTCACTGTGAATGACAACGGATTCTCTTTTCAATACCTTCATTATTGTTGTTCAATCATATCGTTTGCAGATATGGTAGCCATTTTCATTTTCAGCAGTTCTTTAAATGGATTTTGAATTGGGCAACCTTAAAAATACCTGTTGTACCTGGGTTAATGGACTTAGAAATATTTATATAATACATTGTGAGTATGGGAAGTGTTATAGAAGGTCCTATAAATGAGAGAGAGGGTGGTCAAATTTAGCAGGCAGGGCAGGGGCTAAGGTAGGTGGCTTTAAAGGGGTGTGTCAGGGAACTGTGGGTTGTTACATAGCATAGTGCTTTCAAAGATGCTTATACACGAGAGGTAGACCACGTAGGCAGAAAGAGGGTGGTCAGAGTTGTTAAAGGTTGTGGCTTTAGGATATGGATGTGGCTGTATGACAGGGCGAGGGCTTATAGCAAATCTTATCGAACAGGTTTCCTGAGGGGTATCCTACGAAGCAAGCTAGATCTACTCAGGGTTTTCTAAAGATAACCAGCTTCAGTTAGCTTCACAATCCAGCTCAGGCTTCATCTGTACTACAACAGTGGATATTGCTTGTCCGCCTGCCGCTAACTCTAGCAGGCTTGTACATGGGCTAGTCGAACACCAAACTCGTCATTGAGACAATGCTGAAACATAAATCCATGGGTGAGTACATTGAAATGAAAGAAAATGTTGCAGGCGATGGTGTGAAATAGGCGTTTAGAAGTGCACATCTTTAATTTATTACTTATCATTAATGCCGTCTTTGGTGTGTTTATCAATACACAACCACAAGCACCCTTTTCATTTACATTACATTTTAGTCATTTAGCAGACGCTCTTATCCAGAGCGACTTTAAGTTAGTGCATACATTTTTTTTTTTATCGAACCCACAACCCTGGCGTTGCAAATGCCATGCTGTACCAACTGAGCTACATCCCCTGCCGGCCATTCCCTCCCCTACCCTGGACGACGCTGGGCCAATTGTGCGCGCCGCCCCATGGGTCTCCCGGTCGCGGCCGGCTACGACAGAGCCTGGATTCGAACCAGGATCTCTAGTGGCACAGCTAGCACTGCGATGCAGTGCCTTAGACCACTGCGCCACTCGGGAGTACTTTTCCCCACTCCTATCATAAAATAATTGTTTTAAGTCATACAAAAGTGTTACTGTGCGTGAAGTTTAAAATTCATTCTGTCATTACTATTTTAACATGACTAATTAACACAAAAAAACATTTGATTAATAAAATATTTAATCAGTTGAAGGGGATGATGCAATCTTTGCAAGAGGGAGGGAATCTGATTTAATTTGTCCTCAACCAGTGGCTCAGTCATTTCATTCTGGGTAAATGGAGTTAGCCCTGCGTTAGCCTGCCCCGGAGCAGGTTAGTTCTGAAGGATTCGTTGCCATAGAAAATTACCTGGCTAAAAGGTGAGCCACTTTCGTGTGACCGGTTATCCCGAGTTAAACTCAGAGTTGACCAAAGTTACCTCGCTAACTCCTCAAACCTGCTTCATAAAATATCCCTCTGGACAAAGATTAAGCCAAATCCTAGAATCTCCATTGGACATTAAAACATTTTTAGGACTACGCATAATCTATGCCTGGGAAACCAGCCCATAATGGTTTCGTTTAGACAGGCAACCAAATTCTGATATTTTCCCCCACTAATTGGTCTTTTGACCAATTAGATCAGTTCTGAAAAAGATCTGATGTGATTGGTCAAAAGACCAATTTGTGAGAAGAAAAAAAAAGAATTGGGCTGCCTGTCTAAATACAGCCAATGTAGCCTAACGGGTACAACAGAGGTGGTGTGTCAGGGCCGAAGCCTGGGACTCACCTTGCTGCTGCGGGGGCAGGAGGACCTGCTGTGTCTGGGCTTGCTGGGTGGCCTGCTGGGCTGCTGCCTGAAGGGCCGCCTGCTCCTCTGTGTTGAAGCCCTCCACTGCCTTACTCTGCATTAGCTTGTTCTCCCACAGCTAAAGGAGAGGGGAGGAGAGGGAACTTTAAAATGGAGGGTAGACTGTTGACCACCATTTTGACATTTGTATTGTCTATTCTACTTTTTACAAAACTACAGGGACAGAGAACTTACGATAGAGAAAAATACACTTATTGTATTACGAATAGTGGGAACAACATCAGATGGGAACTACAAAAGGGAAGCAAACACTAGGGTATACAAGAGAGAACAACATTCTATAATGGAATGTGACTAGAAGGAAGAGTTCTGCACCGTTTTGAGTTCCATGAGGACCTGCTCGTCCACCCCCTCATCCAGGAAGAGCTCCCGGACCTCATTGATAACATCTTCAATCACAGACCTGTAAAGTTTAGGCTGAGAAAACATACAGAGTACTGTTAGAATCGCTCTAATGTATATTATAAACTGGGTGGTTTGATCCCTGAATGCACGGGTATAACAAAAAATTAAATTCAAAAAGTATTCAGACCCCTTGACTTATTCCAAACATTTTTTTAATGGATTTTTTTAAAAAAATCCCCTCATCAATCTACAATACCCCATAATGACAAAGTGAAAACAGGTTTAAGATTTTTTTGCTAATTAAAAAAAAATACTAAACAGAAATACCTTATTTACATAGGTACTCAGACCCTTTGCTATGAACTTTAAATTGAGCTCAGGTGCATCCTGTTTCCATTGATATTCCTTGAGATGTTTCTACAACTTGGAGTCCACCTGTGCTAAATTCAATTGATTGGACATGATTTGGAAAGGCACACACCTGTCTATATAAGGTCCCACAGTTGACAGTGCATGTCAGAGCAAAAACCAAGCCATGAGGTCGAAGGAATTGTCAGTAGAGCTCCGAGACAGGATTGTGTCGAGGCACAGATCTTGGAAGGGTACCAAAAAATGTCTGCTGCATTGAAGGTCCCCAAGAACACAGTGGCCTCCATCATTCTTAAATGGAAGAAGTTGGAACCACCAAGACTCTTCCTAGAGCTGGCGGCCAGGCCAAACTGAGCAATCGGGGGAGAAGGGCCTCGGTCAGGGAGGTGACCAAGAACCTGATGGTCACAGACAGAGCTCTAGAGTTCCTCTGTGGAGATGGGAGAATCTTCCAGAAGGACAACCATCTCTGCAGCGCTCCACCAATCAGGCCTTTATGGTAGAGTGGCCAGAAGCCAGTCCTCAGTAAAAAGGCGCATGACAGCCCGCTTGGAGTTTGCTAAAAGGCACCTAAAGACTCTCAGACTATGAGAAGCAAGATTCTCTAGTCTGATGAAACCAAGATTGAACTCTTTGGCCTGAATGCCAAGCGTCACGTCTGGAGGAAACCTGGCACCATCCCTACGGTGAAGCATGGTGTTGGCAGCATCATGCTGTGGGGATGTTTTTCAGCAGCAGGGACTGGGAGACTAGTCAGCATTGAGGGAAAGATGAACGGAGCAAAGTACAGAGAGATCCTTGATGAAAACCTGCTCCAGAGCGCTCAAGACCTCAGACTTCACCTTCCAACAGGACAACGACCCGAAGCACAAAGCCAAGACAAGTGTCCTTGAGTGGCCCAGTCAGAGCCCGGACTCGATCGAACATCTCTGGAGAGACCTGTAAATAGCTGTGCAGCAACGCTCCCCATCCAAGCTGACAGAGCTTGAGAGGATCTGCAGAGAAGAATGGAAGAAACTCCCCAAATACAGGTGTGCCAAGCTTGTAGCGTCATACCCAAGAAGACTCTAGGCTGGTATCGCTGCCAAAGGTGATGCAACAAAGTACTGAGTAAAGGTTCTGAATACTTATGTAAATGTGAGTTCTTTTAAATACATTTGCAAAACAATCTAAAAACCTGTTTTTGCTTTGTCATTATGGGGTATTGTGTGTAGATTGATGAGGAAAACTATTTATTTAAGCCATTTTAGAATAAGGCTGTAACGTAACAAAATGTGGAAAAAGAGAAGGGGTCTGAATACTTTCCGAATGCACTGTATACAAAATTATGTGGACACCCCTTCAAATTAGTGGATTCGGCTATTTCAGCCACACCCGTTGCTGACAGGTGTATACAATCGAGCACACAGCGATGCAATCTCCATAGAAAAATATTGGCAGTAGAACAGCCTTATTGAAGCGCTCAGTGACTTTCAACATGGCACCGTCATATGATGCCACCTTTCCAATAAGTCAGTTTGTCAAATTTCTGCCCTGCTAGAGCTGCCCTGGTCAAATAAGTGTTATTGTGAAGTGGAAACGTCTAAGAGCAACAACGGCTCAGCCGCAAAGTGGTAGGCCACACAAGCTCACAGAACGTGACCGCCGAGTGCTGAAGCGCGTAAAAATCGTCTGTCCTCGGATGAAACACTCACTACCGAGTTCCAAACTGCCTCTGGAAGCAACGTCAGCACAATAACTGTTCGTCGGGAGCTTCATGAAATGGGTTTCCATGGCCAAGCAGCCACACACAAGCCTAATATCACCATGCGCAATGCCAAGCGTCGGCTGGAGTGGTGTAAAGCTCGCCGCCATTGGACTCTGGAGCAGTGGAAACGCATTCTCTGGAGTGATGAATCACCCTTCACAGTCCGATGGATGAATCTGGGTTTGGCGGATGCCAGGAGAACGCTACCTGCCCCAATGCATAGTGCCAACTGTAAAGTTAGGTGGTGGAGGAATAATGGTCTGGGAATATTTTTCATTGGGTCGGGCTAGGCCCCTTAGTTCCAGTGAAGGGAAATCTTAACGCTACAGTATACAATGACATTTTAGACGATTCTGTGCTTCCAACTTTGTGGCCCTTTCCTGTTTCAGCATGCCAATTCCCCCGTGCACAAAGCGAGGTTCATACAGAAATGGTTTGTCGAGATCAGTGTGGAAGAACTTGACTGGCCTGCACAGAGCCCTGACCTCAACCCCATCAAACACCTTTGGGATTAATTGGAACGCCGACTGCCAGCCAGGCCTAATCGCCCAACATCAGTGCCCGACCTCACTAATGCTTGTGGCTGAATGGAAGCAAGTCCCCGCAGCAATGTTCCAACATCTAGTGGAAAGCCTTTCCAGAAGAGTGGAGGCTGGTTATAGCAGCAAAAGGGGGGACCAACTCCATATTAATGGCCCATGATTTTGGAATGAGATGTTCGACAAGCAGGTATCCACATACTTTGGCCATGTAGTGTACTTTTGACTGTTCTAATTACCTTGGTGACCAGTTTATAATAGCAATAAGGCACCTCTGGGGTTTGTGGTATTTGGCCAATATACCACAGCTAAAGGCTGTATCCAGGCATTCAGTGTTGCGTTGTGCATAAGAACAGCCCTTAGCTGTGGTATATTGCCAATATACCACACCTCCTCGGGACTTATTGCTTAAGTACATTTATTCCACATGGTGATAACTGAAATGCACCTTGGTAAATAATGTTGGCCAACGAACTATCCAATATTTATTATGGTTTAAAATATATATTTTGAGATTGAATACCTGCCACAAGTTCAAAGGCAGTCAAACTGCATACCATAACATACTCAAAACTAACTGAATTTAGAAACCCCAAAATTGCAACAGAAGAAATGTGCCATTCTTACAACTAAACTATGTTAAATCAGTTCTAAATTATTAAATTATGGTTTGTAAATTTGAAAGTGTTCAGACTTTCATCACATCCCCCAGTTTAATTTTTTTATTCCTGAATAAATTGTGACAATTCAGCATCAAGTTATGGGGCCTGAATTAAATGAGATTATTGCCTACCTCAGGGATGGGCAAATTTGATGAGGATGGGGACCACAAAAAAATCGTTAGTCATCATGAGGGGCCGCAGTGGCTCTGCATACCCCCCCCCCCCCCTTGTGACAGCAAAGATAAATGTTTTTAAAGTTATTTTCTTGCAATTCTGCACATTTTGCCAAGGGAAGTAGAGAAAATGTTGCAGTTTTAAAGCAAGTTTGCTGCAATTCTATACATTTTACCATGGGGCAGAGAAGACTTAGCAATTTTATAACTAATTTCATGCAACTCTACTAATTTTGCCATAGGATGGAGGCAAATGTTTGCAGTTTTTAATATGATAACTGATGCTCAATGGGCCCCACACCAGTTGGTAATTCGACCATGCTTACTACAAGTTTAGATACCTGGCCGTTAGAGTAATTTACCGATCGAACTTGGGCTGATTGAGTGACTGATGCACAACCAACATTTCTGAATTGCACCTTATTTATTATATCTCTCAACAGTAAGTTGAGACCCCGACTGATTCATTTTTTAATTTTATTTTTTATTATTGGTCCACGGGCCTACAAGAGGGGCCGCCCGCCAGTTACCCATCCCTAGCCTACCTAAATCTATTTAAACACTGATGTTTCATGATAGCCATGGCATTGGCAGCAATAATGCAGCATCCAGCTAGATAATCTAAAGACTAGCCCGCAAATGTGCATACGGGAGCTTTCACACCATAAACAACAACACACAGCAATCGTTTCGCAATCAATCCGCATTTATGGTATCCTCAAAACGTAAACAACCGAAAGACACCGATCAGTTGGAGCTAGCTAAACTGAATCGGCCATGCACAAGATACACTAACATTCAATAATCGACCATCATTCCCACACTGAGCTAGGGACACAAGCATTTCGCTACATCTGCTAAATATGTGTATGTGACCAATACAATTTGGAAACTAAAATGATCGCATTAACAACAGCGACCACTGTCCTTATTCCCCTGTGTCCGCACAGTGGCGGACCTCCGTCTCCCTCTTTCTCCCCACTATATAAAGCTCGGTCTGATGTTTATATGTAGAGCCAATGACGTAGGGTTCACTAGCACCTTCCCATCCCGGGCAGGCTATATTAGAGAGGCAATATGGCTGTATAAAACCGAGCTGCGGAAAGGAGAGGGTCACAACCGTCGAGAGGAGACATGGACGCGATTTTACGGAGCCGGGGTCAGCGACCATTGCCTCGTGCTCGGAGTCGCTATTCGAATGATGGATGTAAAATGAATTGCTGGTATCTAGATTGTTTTATTTTAGTGTGTTAATATGTAATTTTAGAGATGGGGCCAGCGAAAGAAAAATATATATAACAGAAGAGAGATTTGGCTTGGGGCAAGCTTGCTGGCGGTTAACAGCCTTGTTCGTGGAATGGTGGACTGAGGCATTTAACCTTTTTGAAATGTTCAAGCAATACTTCCCAGCCGACAATGTTTTAATTCTGATAAAATTGGAATTTAACGACATCCGCATTGGATGAGAAGGTGCTTCCAACTGTAACCTTACGTCGAGGCAAACTACTAACTACCATTCAATTCTCACTAGTTATGTATTACTTACCAGCACAGACCTATTGCTAGCTGATCTAACCCCAACCCCAATAAAAACTATTGTAAGCTAGGAAACACATTTTTTTAAAATCCAAGAAACGCACGAGTAAATGTAGGCTGATGTATGCTAGCTAGCTGGCAGCCAAGCTTGCAAATTAGTCTACATTGCAATTAACAAGGCTCAAGTCACATTTTACTATTTAGCTAGCTATGTAGTTAGCTTAAACCAAAGACTTGCCTTCTGGTTTTGTTTCTGACTGCATCTGACATAACATTAGCCCAAGTTACCAACGCCATTCCCCAGCTGTATTCTGAAAAAATGCAGAAGATTCAAATGGTTTCGAAAATGGGTTAAAATGGCCGATTGTTGTACTTAGGGCTATCATTTTTATTAATGAGAACATAAACTGTTTGCCAACAATACTTCCAGTCCCTTTTAATATGCTTGTACTCAAAATTCCAACCTTTTTTGGCAGCTAGTAGTTTGCCATCAGTTCTTTCTCACTGATAACCCTCTGACAATGATCCTTACCACTTGATTCGAGTTAGCCGAGCTCGCCATTACGCGTAGTGTAAAACCACACGAAAATCAAGCGAGGAATAAGAGTTAAAAAAAAAAAAATACACGATCTAAAACAACTGGGTACGACACTTACAATTAGCCGGCATAACTTTTGTAAATAAAACACAGGTTTTTAACGGTCTTATTTACAAACACGGACTCTGCCTTCCCAGCCGTACTTCACCCGCCGTTGTCCTCCTTTATATACCGAGCATGAAGCTGCTAGTGCGCGAGACATAGGGCAGGGTCAACCCGGTCATTACCGCGAGATTCCACGGGAATATCGTCCAGGAGAAAAACAGGGACGCGTTCAGCACAGTCATTGGTTCAGCAGGACACGACGTTTTTGAACGTTCAGATAGAAATGTGTTATGTAGAATATTTAACACGCCTCTCTCACATATAGAACAAGGACTCATGTAGGCTCTATTCATGCCATTTCTATCTGCAACGGTCGACAACGTTTGGCAACTGAACGTGGGCCAGCTTCAGATTTGACAGTACTGGGAAATATATTCTTACATTGTGTACTGGAGATTGCGTGAATGAGATTGCTCATGAAAACAAATAGCTTTGTTTTATAATTTTGAATTGCTTTGACGCTGATAGACGTTGAACTGACGTCTGAGCCCAGCGGACATTACCACACATGTACATATACAGTACACCCACCGTATAGAAACTTTACCCCTGCCTACATGTACATACTGTATGTACGTCAATCACCACGTTCCCTGCATAATGATATGTTAGTGGTAGTCCTTGTATATAACTTCATTCTTGTGTGTTTTATTTCTCATGTGTTTAAACATGTTCTTATTGAACTCTGCATCGTTGGGAATGAGCTTGTAAGTAAGAATTTCACTGAATTCGGCGCATGTGACAAATACCATTTGATTTGATTATTAAAAATAATTGTGTACCCTTTCCCTTGGTCGCTGTGAATTCATTTATTCCTAGTGTTCTACATTTACATTACATTTCAGTCATTTAGCAGACGCTCTTATCCAGAGCGATTTACACGAGCAATTAGGGTTAAGTGCCTTGCTTAAGGGCACATCGACAGATTTTTCACCTAGTCGGCTCGGGGATTAGAACCTGCGACCTTTCGGTTACTGGCACACCGCTCTTACTCACTAAGCTACCTACCTATTTGTCACATGCTACAGCCCAAACTTTGCAAAGCACTTTATGTCATTCAATACTGTATGTCATCAAAGGTGATCAATTATAATAGATAATATTAATATATTATTCACCTCTTCCTCTCAGATGTTATCCATTTCTTACCCCAAGTGGTTTTGCCAGTGATTATAACTATTTTACACGCGAGCGCCAAAAGCGGAACTAATGCAACGCTCTACACGGCAACGTTCTACACGGGTAAATTAGAGTGGCGCACCCGAAGGTCGAAGGTAAGCAAAACGATTTAATATCATAAGTGACTTGTTGTTCTTGCACATAGCCTACATGTTCCTTTTGTTCCTCACACATAAATTAAATCAAGTTTTTAAATGTCTGGTCTCGATTTGTTTAGAAATGTAATCATATCTAAGCAAACTCATCGAAGCAGAAGCAAATATCCAAATGTTAGTAGGCTATCCTTGCTAGGTCTACACAATGTTGTGATGTTAACCACGTAACTTCATCCGTCTTGGCTGTTGCATCGCGATAACAAATACATTTTTAGTAAAGTAATCAACAGGTTATCTGCCAGTGTTAAGTAGGGAGGGATGGTTAGGTAACAAAATGTAATGCATGCCCCTACGTTTTTTCTTCTTCTAATAGTTATCATGAAACGAGGAAGGGACATAAAGTCATTTTTTGCCCCAGCAAACAAAAAAGTTAGATAGAGTTTATGATTTTATTCTTTTGAATTATCTCTGCCAAACATCTATGTACTACAAATCTTCAAGCTCCACAGATGTTTTATGGCATCCACTAAACCTCTTTAGATATTTGTAAATTATACAGTGTGATACCTTTCAACGAAAGTTTATTTTATTTTTTACCAACTATGATTTTTCCTTTTGAAAACAAGCAAAGCAAGAAAAAAAAGAAACAAAATCACTCCAATCATTGCACACTTGTGTCGTTCAGACTTTGCAGGTCCAGCTTTGACATGATGATCTAACTAACACTAATATTGTAACTAATATTGTAACTGAAATATGTATGATCCTATGATGAGCGATTGCTTACTTCCCTTTCACTCTTAAAAAATTACTGGAAAGAAATGTGTATAAAAAGGTATATGTAGTATATGTTTGTTTAGTGAGCATTCATGCTGTCATTTTTTCCTAATGTGAACTATGGTGGAAATGTGCTGTCCTAAATGGACTTGCCCATATATGTTGTAAAGCCTTTTTTTGTACACCTGCTCATCAACTGACAGTGAAGTACACAAAGACACAGACACACACACACACAGACACCTGTAATATTCTTATTTTCATGTTGTTGCTGATATCCATCAGTGTTGTTCATATTGCTACATTGTGTTGACATGATTGTTGCTTTTAAACGAATGTTAACTTAATGTTTATTGTCTGCATCCTATTGGACTACTGGATGTTAATGTGTAACACGTTTCCCTGTTTATGTGCTTTAGCAATACTGTATGTCAATATGGTCATGCTAGTAAAGCCTCTTTGAATTGAATTTCTTTTCTGATTTGGTTTATTTTACCTAAATGGATACAGGGTAGTGTGTTTTGTTTATAAATCACTCAGAAAGTTTTCTTTCTTAAAACAAAATGTGGAATCAACTGTCCACAGTAGTGGGGCTTCCATAAATAGGAAATGGCACATTGTTGTACCCTTTGTTGTATCCTGGAGTTTTGTTCACATTGAATATGAACCCTGTATTTGTACCCTGTACTTTTTTTTTTTTTTTCATTTTTATGGCACTATCTCTCTTGCATCTGCACTCTTGTACAAAATACGTGTTATAATAAATGTCATATGATTTTAAAGTAAAATAAAGTTTATAATCTTTGAATATCATGTGTTGCCAGTTTTTTTATGTGTGCCCCCCTGATTAAACACTGGCCCCTCCTTGGCCCCCCTAGTAAAATGTGTCTAGAACCGCCACTGCCAGTGACAGATTCAGGAGACACTTGGATGTAGTAACTAATTTCCACCACTAGAGGATAATCACACACCATGACAAAACACAGGATCAGTTTCCAAACCCTATGATGACCCAAGTCACAATCAATTTAAGCAAGGTGAAAGGCATATGCTACTAGTATTTTGTCCCAAAAACTACAAGCATGGTTTTTGGGACAAATCACTTGCTCAACGCTAAGCTTTACATCTATTATTGAATAATTTGGCCGATTGAGCATGTTGAGGAGACTAAACTGCTGGGCCCTAAATAGCAAGCAAGCTGTCATGGTCAAAACATATAGACTCAATGGTTGCTAAAATGGGAAGAGGTCTGGCCATGATAAGGCGTTGCTCTGCTTTCTTGACATCTCAATCGACCAGACAGGTCCTACATCCCTAGTTTTGTCGCACCTGGAATACTGCCCAGTTGTGTTGTCATGTGCGGCAAAGAGGGACATAGGTAAATTGCAGATGGTCCAGAACAGAGCAGCAGGTACTGCACTTAGCTGTACATGGATGGCGAATGTCAGTAACATGGATGTCAGTCTCTCCTGGCTCAAAGTTGAGGAGAGATTGACTGCAGCGCTATTGGTCTTTGTGCGAGGTGTTGAGGTACCGAACTGTCTGTTCAAGCAGTTGGCACACAGTTAGGACACTCATTGGTACAACACAAGACATGCAATCAGTGGCCTCGTCACAGTCCCCAGGTCCAGAACAGAGGCTGGGAAACGCACAGTATTAAAAAGAGCCATGACTAGATGGAACTCTCTGCCACCCACAGGTAACTCAAGCTAGCAATAAAACCAGATTCAAAAACAGATAAAAGAACACCTAACGGCACAACAGGGACTGTGAAGAGACAAAGACAGTTTTATATAATTTTTATTGTAATTAACTCTGTGTTATGTATTGTATTATGTAGGTAGGTGACCTTGCACCAGCCTTGGCTTGTGTGAACCGGAACAGCTTATAGGATGGGAGCCATCTCCTGTTTCTGAAGCATGAGGCAAAGGCAGGAGATTATGCAGTATTATGTAGTGTTATGTTATGTTATGTTATCAATCTACACACAATGACAAAGCAAAAACAGGTTTTTATACTTTTTTGCTAATTTATAAAAAACTGAAACTGACATATTACATTTACATTAGTATTCAGACCCTTTACTCAGTACTTTGTTGAAGCACGTTTGGCAGCGATTACAGCCTCGTCTTCTTCAGTATGACGTTACAAGCTTGGCACACCTGGATTTGAGGAGTTTCTCCCATTCTTCTCTGCAGATCCTCTCAAGCTATGTCAGGTTGGATGGGAAGCGTCACTGTACAGTTATTTTCAGGTCTCTCCAGAGATGTTCGATCGGTTTCAATGGCTTCAAGTCCGGGCTCTTGCTGGGCCACTCAAGAACATTCAGAGACTTGTCCCGAAGCCACTCCTGCGTTGTCTTGGCTGTGTGCTTAGGGTCGTTGTCCTGTTGGAAGGTGAACCTTTGCCCCAGTCCGAGGTCCTGAGAGCTCTGGTGCAGGTTTTCATCAAGGATCTCTCTGTACTTTGCTCTGTTCATCTTTTCCTCGATCCTGACTAGTCTCCCAGTCCCTGCCGCTGAAAAACATCCCCACAGCATGATGCTGCCAACACCATGCTTCACCGTAGGGATGGTATTGGCCAGGTGATGAGCAGTGACTGGTTTCCTCCAGACATGACGCTTTGCATTCAAGCCAAAGAGTTCAATCTTGGTTTCATCAGACCAGAGAATTTTGTTTCTCATGCCTTTTTCTTTAGGTGCCTTTTGGCAAACTCCAAGTGCGCTGTCATGTGCCTTTTACTGAGGAGTGGCTTCCGTCTGGCCACTCTACCATAAAGGCCTGATTGGTGGAGCGCTGCAGAGTTGGTTGTCCTTCGTGAAGTTCTCCCATCTCCACAGAGGAACTCTGGAACTCTGTCAGAGTGACCATCGGGTTCTTGGTCACCTCCCTGACCAAGGTCCTTCTCCCCCGATTACTCAGTTTGGCCGGGTGGCCAGCTCTAGGAAGAGTCTTGGTGGTTCCAAACTTCTTCCATTTTAAAATGATGGAAGCCACTGTGTTC